TTCTAGCGAGCAGTTTACAAGTAATAGTTAATGTTAGTTTTATAGCCGTAACGATTGTAACAAAAGTAATAACATATTTAACATTGTATATCACAACTGGTTTAAACATAATATAGGTAAGTATGTACGTGTTTACATAATAAAGATATATAAAGAGTAGGTCATACTTATGTATTTTTGATTAAAGAATCTTGCAAGTTAATCAATCCACAGGCAATGGCAATAACATCAAGTACTTTGACACGATTAAGATTCACACATGCATGCGGCTTTAGCATACTCAATTCACGTAAGCGTCGAATCACTCTCTCAACATAAATTCTTAAGCTTTCAGGAACTCCAATGTAAGACTGCGGGTTATTCACTATTTTCTGCAATGTATATTCCAAAATTCTTGATGTCTCTTGTTTCTTATCATCTTCAATTAGTTCGCTGAGGTCTGAAGAAGATGTTGATTCACTATGTGCCACAGATGGTGTGTATGAAATATCACTGTAAGAGTCTGCCTGTATAGCAACTAATTATTTATTTTATTCATTTATTTATTTCTTGTAAACCTATTTTCCAAGCGATTATTTCAGAGTGGTTGCTTTCTACTATTGTTATTTCATGATTCTCAGTTGCTAAATTTTGTGCAGATTATACATAAACTGAATTATATAGGTACTGAAGAAATCAGTTAATACGGTAAACATTATCAGTGATAATCATTTCTCCTTCCAAGTGTTTATTTTGACGAGTCTACATACATTCAATCTCTAGTTTACAAAGTGATTATCATTTGATATCATTTAGGAGAGTGAAGTTTCGCCCTCTGCTGTATCTGTGAAGTTTATCTAAGTTTAATCATGACATAAATGTATCAATTATAACTTTTACTCCGTACGCTACTGAACGTTCGGAAGTATTCGGAAATTTTGGCAGCTATCTTTAGCAGCCAGTTTCACACTGCTTATAAAAACTGGGATATAATAAAGAAAGATGGTTACTCAGTTAACAACGCAAGAGGTAGAAGCTTAGTACAAGTATGCCCATCTCTGAAAATGAAAAAAGATAATGCTTCTCGGCTCAACAACATCTTGAATGAATGCATTCATTTTACCATACCATATCTAAATGAGAAACTTCATATATTCCTAGTATACATACATCACTCTTAACCTAATATTGAGGAGACAATCTTTATTAAAGCTACTCTGTACAAATATGCAATGATAATAGAAGACTTCAATGTGAACCACATCTGCTACAGACAACTCAACACTTTCCTACAGAACTCCTCCTTCAAAAAAGCAAAAACAGCTCCTAACTTCCTGATGGAAAATAATCCTGACAGCACCCCAGACTTGGTACTGTATACAAGTAACCTGGAAAATAACATAGTAAAAATAGAAACTCATGCAGACCCAGGTTCAGACCAATTGAAGTGAATGAATACCATTATTGAGAAAGAGGATTACAAAATAAACTATAATAAGTGTAACATGAAAAGAGTAAATGCAGATATAATACAATTCATCCAACACCATCGAATTGTTAATGAAGATCATATCGAAACATTCAACAAAAAACTTGTTGAATCTGTCAGAAGCAACTCTCCAAAATCGAAAACAAAGTTTTATGTGCACGAACTTCCACCATTCATCATAAGGCTAATTAAAAACAAAAGAAAAATTTACACAGAATTCAAAACCACCCAGAACCCTCAACTGAAAAAGAACATTAATGACTATAACAAAAATATCCAGAAACTTATTATGCAGTACAAAGAAAATAAATGGTTATAAACATGTGAAAAAATAAACGAGCAAAAGGGTAAAAATTACTGGCACCAAATCAAAAAACTATCTAAATACAAGCCAATAAATAACATCAATAATCTACAAGTTAATGGTCGTATAACAACAACAGATGAAGATAAGGCAGATAGCTACATTCTCAACTTGTTTTGAGAATGCTTTCAAAAAAGAAAATTAAATATTGACCAAAATCAATAAAAGTCTGTCAATAATTGGCACAGAAACTTTTTCAAAAATATCCCAATGCAAAATGATCGAAAAATAGATGAAGATTTATATTATAACATCATTAGTGAGGGAAAAAATATAGCCCCAGGAATAGACAATATATCTAGGGCAATAGATATAGGGCAATAGATATACAGACCCATTACTCTTCTTTCTGTATTAGGAAAAACTGAGAAAATCATCAAATATCAACTCAGTGAACATATGAATATACCAATGTATCAATTTGGTTTTAGAGAAAATAGAAATACAACCCACCCTTTAGTAATTGTAAGATCTAACGTACAAACAGCACGCATGACCAACCTATACTCTGCGGCGCTATTTTTGGATATCAATAAAGATTTTGATAGCGTTCGGTATAAAGGAATGTTATATAAACTTCACGAATTGAACACCCCTATCCATTTTCTCTGTATAATAAAAACAATATTTTGATTGTACACTGGCTGAAGGACTTCGGTCGATGGCCCTTTGGTATTCACCAGTAAATGACATTTATTATTATTATTTAATAATTGGTCTGTTTATAGTTTTGCGTCATTATAATACTTTGTCGACATGGCCACGATAAATTATAACTGGTTTTTGTTGAATGATGCCTTTGTTAAAAGTAGGTACATTTAGTTCAACTGACTGCTTTACTTCATACAATGGACGGTATACGGGATAACTCTTACAGTAAAGAGTCTCTGTCGTTAATTCAGCCTGTGAAACATGAGCCCTCACAATAGGACTCTGTTGTGGTTTACTGCTGGTTTGGTCCGGTTGCAGTATAGTGTATAGTGAATTACACCAGCCGCCGGCCACTATACAGTAACCATGGTTTTTTGGTGGGTTTTCGCCTTTGGGAAGTGCCTGGGTGGCTGGCTCATCGGTGTCCAACCACTGTCCTGAACGTCTCCCGTTGTCATAGAAGATACACTTTTCATGCTATATGATGATCCAATTCAAAAAATTATCGTTTCGGTTGCGTAAAAGCAAAGAAGAACAGACTTCGAAACGTGACAATTTCTGTATATCGTTCAATTTGAATTTGAAAATATTTATTGAGATATGGAGCTACAAAACACATGACATTAAAACGAACAAATCTTTGAAACGACATAATATGATGATTGGTGTCAAATTTTCCATTGCCTTATCCATCATAGGTATTATATACATAAAAGTCATCAGAACGCTCCTTGAACAGTACAATGTAGTCGCACAGTTGATCCTTGGGAAGTTTTGTTCGAGTTCATGTTCAATAAGCAGTCGGGCAACTGTTTTGAACTCCAATACGCGGCCTAATATATTATCATCTATTGGCAGAATGGCAGATGGCATTATCCAAAGCAAAGGCAGGAAGCGTTTCATTTTTTTATATTGGACATAGAGCGTTTTAGCTATACTGTGATAGAGCCTTCATCTTTATAAATATCAACATTTTTGAAAATTCAGTAAAAGTTGTACGTAATTTGGAAAATGAATTTTATTATTTCGTTAAAATATATTTTTGTATTCAACACTCCATTATCAATTATCTTAAGAAATTGCGTTTAGAACAGAATCCCGCCTATTTTGTCTAATTCATAACCTAACAAATGCGTTTTTTGTTGTCATGAGAACATTTACAATATATTTTCTTTGGTTGTAGTATATAAAACTATATTTCTGTGCATGTGTTTATTCATTAAATATGAATTGACTTTCAAAATACCAAAATAGTTATGAGTGCATATAAGTAATAAAATGGATCAAATTGTTTCTCATCAAAAAGATGGGAAAGACAATGATTCACCCATCAGAGACAAAATATTCGACCCTTCAGTTGATATGTTGGTAAATGATTTTGATGATGAACGTACACTTGAAGAGGAAGAAGCCTTAGCTGCTGGAGAATCCCATGATCCAGTCGCTGAGTTATCAAACTTGCAAAAAGTATGTTGAAATTTCTTGTAGAGATAGATTTGTAAGGTACATCTATCTATTCAAAGAACCTAGGCTATTGAACAACATTCATAAATTACTGGTGATGTCAGGTGTACACTGTACACATGGTGTAGTTCACTACTATTAGCTAAATATCGAATGATATTAGAAACTTTGTTTTTAAAAAGGTTTCTAGAATATCTATTTTTCCCTATGGAATTTCAGAAATAGGACACATTGTCTTCATTTTTCAATAATATTGTATTGTATTGAGTCATCTCTATAAAATGCAGATATTTCAAGATCTGTATGTCAGTAAATTTGAAAGAATATCAGATTTTTGTAAAACCATGGCTCACCTAGTCATCAGCACCATTCCTAATTATCTGCCTAATAAGTGTTTCAACAATGAATGCTCATTTTTTTTGAGTAGTAATTTAATCGAACTAGTCAGTTCCTACTCGAGTGGAAAACACTTGAAAGGTAATCTGTTTTTTTATCAATCGGCTTTCCCCCCAACCTACGAACGACAACCCTCAAAAATCGAAACTTGTGCGAGCCAAGAATTAACAAGGTCTTACCTTTCAACGTGCAATTCTCAGCCGAGTTGAACGATATACAGTGAAAATCGATCGTTACGCCTTGCGGCCGTTTCACTTGACGATCGTTTGAATGAGTGGCACAAATCATCCACTCCAACCCAATTGGCTACTGCTTCGCTACCTTAACATAATTTACGAATCAGAAACCCAAATAGATAGAAGAGTTGATCTGTTTTACAAGAGAATCTCTTCCATTTTCAATCTCTCACAGTGATTACATGAGAGACCACAAGATAGATTTATTGTAGAAGGGAAGCAATTGGAATGTAGCGAATGGAATTGTAGCGGAGCCTATGACACTCGGCTATCAGCGACACCCAAAATGTGTTGCAAACTCGAGGACAACCACGACTTTATTTAATAATAAATCAAAATATACTGCAGAATGTTGAGAAATAAATATTAATTCCATGTTCTTACTCATCATAATCTCTTTGGAATTTTTATTTTAAATAAATCAATACTTCCTTCGAAGTATTTATGGATGCATTTCTGCATCTTTCTATACAATGAAGGATGTGCAATAACACTATATTCCGAAATATTTTGCAGATCACAAAACAACCCTCACCCTCACATATAATCAATTAGAACAAAATTCAATAACTATCAAAATTTTTCGTGGTTTGGGATTTTTTGGCATGATAACATACCACCACCCTCGTATTCATTTAGAATGAAATTCAATAAATTCATCGAAATTCTCGTGGATGGAAATTTATTTGCATAAGTGCATACTATGAGAGATGCTGAATAAGACTTATATATCAGAATAGTCATAAAGACTGATGGAAGGTTCACTTTAGTCTGTTGTCCTTTTAGTTCTAATTCAGATTTTCAATTAACAATTCGTCGAATGACAATATAGTTTACATATTATACATAAATATATTTGCAATATTAGCAAAACATGGTTGACCTGGTATAAGTAAATATATATAAGTATGTTGAAATTTCTTGTA